TAAGCCTAAAAGTTCTTGCTTTTCTTCCTGTATGATAATTTGGTTCTCTATCATATTAGCAGTACTTTAAATGCGTGTTTCAGCAGCAAACCAAAACCTAGTAAATTTTTTTTATCAAGGTAGAAAATGGAAATTCTAAACAAAGTAGGCCCTGGAGGAACACCTCCACTAGTAATGTTTTCTCCATCCCAATAATTTGCCATGAGATGTGATACTCATGTGTTACCATTAACCAAGAAGTTTCATCAAAGAAAGATAAGCCAGTATAACATGATTTACATTTGGAAAGATTTGGGTTGCATTTTCATTGTTTTCTATTTATGTTCCAGTCATTGGTTACTCTTGGTTGCTCTTTCCCCTTAGAACAGTTGTTATAAGATAATGAACAGCACTGAGTTCACATTAACAGGGCTTTTTTGAACACAGGTTCTGCATTTCTTCTCCAACCCTAGGCTGCTATCCCAGAAAATGTCTTATTCATTGAGAATCCTCGTGCCTGAACTTGCAATTTTGATATATAACCCATTTTTTCAGTGTTCTGGGATGGAAATTTTTTAAGCAGCCTCATTTCATTTTAGTAATGGATGTGGTAATTTTCAGTGCTTTGTCCTTGTTCCCATGAGGTATTCTGTCTCTGTCCTCAGAGCATTATTCTTACAGGAAAAAATGATGCAAAAAGCTAATTTAATATTTGGTCTGTCCTGCTAATTTCTACCCCTTGTTGACACCAGTTCTTCATTTCTTGCTCTTTATTTCTTGTTGAGAAACCTTTTGTTTGTCTGTGAGTTCCCATTTTCCTGGCTTCCTGGCAGTTTTCCTTTAACTTCTGCAGCTTGACCTCTAAGTGCCAGCTCTCTTTTCTGATCAGTCCCTTTTTCCATTCCTTGTAGGTTCTCTGCTTTCTCTTAATATCCTGCTTTGAGGTGCATTCTCATGCAGGTAGGTCTGTAGCCCTTTCCTGTCCCCTTTTTTCCTTTACTTGGGTGGAAAGACTCAGATAGCGTTTGATTTAAAGTAAATCCATGCCTTCCATACACTCAAATCGAATTGTGTATGTGTTTCATATATCTTTGGATGAAATTTTGGGTTATGGCCCAACAGGGAAAGGTGGGATTGCTCTTGAAATGTAAAGAAAACGGTTAGTTATTTTTGAGTTATGCAGCTGGTGAGGCCTGTACCCCAAGAAGTCTAAGGAAGTTTGAATTGCCTTTGGCAATTATTATATGTTGTATAGGCCGCTTTCTTCCAGATGTTTTTTTTTCCTTCATGTAAAACCATGGGAATTAATTTTAAAAACTGGCATTTAAACCACCTGAATGAGAAATAGATTTTTGTCTTTTTTTCCTGATGCTAGGTATGTTTATACAAATGCAATCAGTTTTGTTAGAAGGTCAATAATTTTGGAAATTTCCTGAAATCCTTTCAAGGTTTCACTTTCTTTTTTTTAAAAAAAAAAAGGCATGCTGATGTTTCTTTTCTCTTTGTGTTGAGAGACAAACCTATTTGGCAGTCTTTCTTTTGAAAACCCAAATGCATATGATGACAGTTCACTTGTCCCTTTCTCCAGGTGGCTGGGAAAGCTATTACCATGAATGTAAAGGCTGCTTTTTGGAGCCACAGTAATCACTTCTGAATCTTCATATTATCAAGGATGAAAAAAATTAATTAATTACTCAGTCGCTGGCAGTTTTAGAATACAGTCTGAAGTATTTATGTGTACATCTGTGTCACTGAAACTACCTTCAGAAGGCTGTAGGCACGACTCTGGGTTTAAGCCTGCGTTTAAGTTTCTGTGAAGTAAGGTATTGTGTGGATTTACAGTCTGTCAGCCACTTTGTGTGTACTACACCATGAACACATTTGTACCATATGGCCGAGCCACAGAATTGCCCAACTGTATGTGAAGGCAGTAATCTGTGCAGATGGACACGGCTGAAACACTTGGGTCCAAGAACCAGCACAGGAACTTCACGTTTGGACTCGTGTCTTTGAGTTAGAGGTTTAGCAAAGCTACTGAGGATTTTTTTTTTCTGGGCTTCTGATATCAAAATGGGGCTCAGTGCTCTGCCATGTTGATTTTGATAGTGTTAATCCTAGAGCTAATACAGATTTTTCAATTACACATTTATGAATTTCATTTAAATGTAATTGGAACTCCTCAATGTGGTTTAATGGTGATGTATAATGCTTTTTTCTTTCTTATCCTTGGGGTGGGGCGGAATCTCTGAATAAAAGTCCCTTCTTTGTCAGTTCTTTTTATTTGCGAATAGCTATTTTCTTTTCTGGGTCTGCCTGAAATTTCCAAAGTCCACCTCTCATATGTGTCTTAGTGCTTGATGAGGTGATAGCAAGAGAGAGATTTGTAAGTAAGTCTTTCACTATGTTTGTTAGCCAAGGCATCCTTCAGTATTTATGTTGCAAGATTTTTAAAGCATGGATAATAGTATTTAGTAACTAAGACCTTGAAAAACTTATTAATGCACTGTTTATATTTTGTGTTATTCCTCTTTATTGTTTTCCTTTGCTTTAATGAGATTGAAACTAATTTAGTGTCATTAGTAAATGTCTGAGCATGTTCTTCAAAATGAGCTTTCAACACTATGGTGGGGAGTTTGGGGGTTGTATCTTTAATCTGATGGCACTTTAAGTTGTTTGGTTTACTTTTTAACTTCATCATGGGTCGGTGGGTGTTTCTTTAACATATGGCACCGTATGTTGAAAGTGGATGTTTACATCTGTTATGCATTGGAAGATTAAGGTAGAAAGGATGAAGTTTTGGGCAAGTATGTGTTTTTTGGATGAAGGATAAAGTGAGAATACTTTTATTTCCTCTTAGATTTGAAACATATCATTCTAGCAATGCCTTTGAAACTCTGCCAGCTTTGCCAACCATAACATTTATGGGATTTTGGACCTAAACTGAATTAGAAAACTGTTTTTAGTGGCAGAGAAAAAGGTTAGTGCATGAAAATAGCTAGGCCTATTATTGACTGCATGTGGTCAGTGGTTTGGCTGAATGTAGGTGGCTCTTTTCCTGTCACTGTTTTCATGCATATGGCTTTGTTTGTGATGAATATAAAACTGCTTAAAAGTGAGTTCTACTGCAGTTCTTTTGCACAGTAGTCTTTTGCTATTTAGTAGTGATTATTTTGCTTTTGCCGTTCATTTTCAATCTTGTAGTAAAAAAACCCCAACTTTTAAAATAAAGCTTATGATTCCGGTTGACATCAAAACTAGGAGGTTTGAAGAATGTGGTCATCTGTGTATAGCAGTTGCTTCTGTCAGTAATATTTTCTAAAAGGATGCATATACTATATTGTTGATTCTTTATTATAGTTAGTGCTGGGATTGTTTGCAGTGGGTAGAAACTCCTTTTAAATGCACACACATTTTGTTTAATTAGTACTTTTGTGAAAATCCCTAATACTGAATTATTACTTCCCTTTTTTCCTTTTCATGTTTTCAGTCTTGAAAGTAACATTTATAGCAGTTTTTCCCAAGGTCAATTTCAGATTTGCCATTTCTTTTTCCCATTGTGTAGAAGACAGCTTGAAATTAACCTAGTGTGTTGTTTTCTTCTTTGGGTATAGTATACAAGGTGCCACCTCAGAGCTCAGGGAATAGCGAATTTTCTAGCTTCTGCTACAGAGAGAGCTTAAGGGCACAACAGGTTCTGTTTAGCTTTAACTTAAACAGTGTTACCCTATTTATATCTTTTAAAAAAAATCTGGGTGATAGAGCTGTAAATTGTGCAGATTGTGGATTGTGTAGATCGTCTGGTGTTTTAAGCGTAGAAAATTCTAGTGAATCTTGTTTTAGCAGCTATCAGATGCAAGAGCTGGTTTCATTCAGCCGAGAGCAAAGTACATTTGGTTCTGCAAGATGCTGAGAACTGCAGTAAGAATTAGGGGCACCAAGTACTTCATGAGCTGGTTCCATTGCTGTAAAGTATTTAAAAACAAAGCAAAACTGTTTACAGTTTCCCCATGTTTGGGGAAAGTAATTTATAGAATTATCCAATTTTTAGAGTAACTGTAAAAGAATAACTAAATAAACAATGAAATAACCTGTGGAGCTGCTTAATACATTTGTCAGTCAGTCCTTAGAGAAGTGCATCCTGGTCCCACAGGCCAGACGCAAGGAAAATCACTTTGTTGCACAAGTTGTGTGATCGCGTCTTGCAAACTTTTAAGAACTTTATTTGTTACCTACATTAAAAAATTATACAATACTTTTTAAAACACAAAATGTACTTTTAAAATTCTTAAAATGTTAAAAAAGAAAATCCCTAGAAGCTGTAATTATTGCATCTATAGGTTAGAACTTACTGTAATATCTTCCTACAATAAAACATAACAATATAACTTACAGCTTATTAAGAAACTTCTTTCCTAATTTAAACTAGGTTTTTTGAACGGTATTATGAAGACAGAGCTGTTGTTCCTAAGCATGCTTGGTGAAAGACTGTCACTAAGCAAGAAGTGCTATGCATGTATTTGTAAGTTGCATTGCAAGAGAATCTTAAGTAAGGTGGATATAAGCATTGCATCCTCAAATGTTTTAAAAGAAAATTAATATGGATTTGCATGAGTTTGGGGTCATGCAAAACACCCTCAATAACAGCAAGCTATGTAATGTGTTTTGGTTTTTTGTGGTTTTTTTTTTTTTTTTCTTTTCCTACTTCTGATTTAGAACCAGATAACTGCTTGATATTTTTGACAGTAGTAATTGTCACAATTCAGAAATGCTCTATCTTGAGAGATCTCATATTTAAACATACTGCCTAACTGATAACTGTTCCTCATCAAAAAAGATTTGAAATATGAAGATGATGGAGATTATTAGTATCAGTTCTGAACACGGATTGATAGAACAGTATCTTAAGAGAAAAACAGCTAACTGATGACATTTGTTTTTGATTTATGTGAGGGTTTTTTTGTGGTCTTGTTTGTGAAAATAATTTTATTAATAATTCTCAATGCTGCCTGTTTGGATTGTAGAGGTTGGAGACCTAAGGGAGCTGCAAACGCTGGACATTTCAACCAATCGTTTGATAACATTACCTGAAAGGCTGCATATGTGCCTTTCGCTGCAGTACTTGACTGCAGACCGAAACCACCTGTGGTATGTTCCCCGCCACCTGTGCCAACTACCAAGCCTCAATGAGCTCTCCATGGCTGGAAACCGCCTTGCATTTTTGCCACTTGGTGAGTCACCACTGTCATTGGGCTGGGGGGTGGGTCAGAAAATAGACAGGAAAACAAACTTTCGGACCCAAAAAGAAAAAAAAAAACGGGGGGGCAACAGGTTATTTTCTTTGGTGGTCCCTACAAACTCTGTTTATGGAGTTGTCACAGTGATCATATTGTTGGAAAATATGTTAATAAACAAAAAAAAATGCAGGTTAAGGTTTCATGCTGTTTAAAAGCAATAGGTCAGCTACCAAATTTGCTTTATTTTTAGCTAACTGAGGGGAGAAAAAGTTTAAATGATGTTGTGTTTAAATATAGTACTATGTAATCTGAGTTCCACCACTTTGGGTAATGATCTGTTTCTGTTTGCTGGATCTGATGATTTAACTAAGATTCTTCAGCTAGGGTTTAAAACTTGCTGTGGAATCCCAGTAAGTCCACGGAAATTATTTTGCATCATTAGGAATGTCAGTATTGCATAATCTAACGAAGGTTTAGTTTGTGCTGTGTATAGGCATCCATCAAAACTTCCACAGTAGTAGCACAGGAAAAAATTTATCTGCCTTTCTCTCAACCTTTCGAAGTTTGGAAGTGTTGAAGCAGGTCTTCAGGAGTAGGAGGTGCAGTCAGTGTGTGGTGGTTTGTTGTGGGAAGTAGTTGTGTTGTCAGTAAGTGCAGACTGTATATTCTATTTGTGAAAAGCTAGTCCTCTTCCACACATTTGTTACTTTTTAGCCCTGCCACAGGCTAATCTCTGCTGAAATACAGACACACATGCAGATCTGTCACGTCATTTGAATAGCCATTAATAGTTTTTCTAGAATACAATCAGAGTTTGGTGTTAATTAGGTGTAGATGAAGTTATGATAATCACATTGAAAAGAAGCTGAAAATTGAGGTGGCTAAAAATAAGATAATAATTTCTAAATTAATTACATTGTATAGGTTTAACTTAATTTTTTCAGTACTAGCAATTTAGTCTTTAAAGAAGTTTATGATCTTTCTGATTTTCTTAGCACCTTAGTTTATATTACTGGAAAGTAAGTGCAAATAATGTCTCCATACATAGTGTTTTAGTTATCTCCCAACATATATCATTATGTAAATGAGAAAACGAGTTCCAGGATGCATCATCCAGATTCCACAGTACTAAAACAAGCAGAGTAACTTCCCCTATTTTGGCAGATATTTCTAACTCCATTTCATGAGACAGGAAGTTGAATCTTTTTAATTTTGCAAAAATAAGATGCTATTCAGTAACATGAGATGTGAAATATTAAAGGGTAAAAGTTTTTGCTACTTCTGTGCTAGTAGCTTATCTGTGAGTGAGCTATGACCTGGATGAGCCATAGATCTGCTGAAGTGTTTTAAGTTCAAAAGGAGGAAATAAATCTCTAATATAATGACACACCTTCTTTTTTCTTTATTTTTAGACTCAAATTCAAAACATTCAAAAGGAACTTTTAAAATAACGGGAAACATCAAAGACTGTCAATTGACCTTGTTCAGTAGTTCTTAATAGTGACTCACTAGTGAACATTTGGAGATAATTTGCTATCTGTGGATATGAAACTGAATCATAAATTCTAGAGTTCAGAGGAAAAGCAGCACAGTATAAATGTAAATGTTTAATCCTTCCTCTGAAGAATCAGAAGGCTTCAGAGTGGTCAAGATGTGATGAAATAAAGTAGAAGAGAGAGTTAGTGCATTGAAAAGCAAAAAGATTAAATCTATCTTTTGTTGTATGGGAAAATACTTTTTTTGGAGTATTACTGAAGTTAAGGCATACTTGTAGCATTATTTCTGCTAGCTGCAGAAGTTGGCTAATTTTTTTTGTGTGTATTCTTACATCCAACTTCACTTTACTAGTTAATGACTGAGTAAGGATATTAAATAACAGTGAAAGATACTGTAGAAATATCTACAAGTGATATTCAAGCAAGAATTGTCAAACCATCTTTTTCAACTAGGGAGTTGAGTTGAAAAGCAGACATTTTATTCATCTCCTGACAGAATGGGTGTTTTGTCTTTTTTATTAGGCGTGTCCACGTTAGAAGAAATACGTTTGGAACATATTGCTTAATGCTTTTTAAAGTGTGATTTAATTTATTTATTTCATATGATGGTTGACATGTACTATGCCAAATAATCCATTCTTCCTCATCTAAGTATGTCCCTTGCAGCTGCCAGTTGCAGAACCTCTTGTTAAGTGTAATGGAAATCTGCATTTTCCTGTTCCTAGATTGATAGGTGTAAGATTTATTCCAGCAGTAAGTAGCACAGTACTTACACAGCACTCCTGGATAGGTACTATGTAGTTTTTTGTCCTGTACATTCTTTTAAGTTTGCGAGCACATGTGTCTTAAGGGGAAAAAAAAAAAAAAGTATAACACTGTTAATTAATTTTACAAAATACAATAAAAATACCTGATGCCACTCTCTGACTTTCAGAACTGGTACATAAACAAGCAGATGGGTAAACAATAATGAATTAGTCATTTGTTCTGCAGAATACACTTAATTCTTGGATATGCTAGTATTTTTAAAAAATTATTATTTTTCAGCTGTTGACTACTCCAGTTTATATTCAAAGAAACAAGACTGTGTGGATCTGAGCCTTTGGGCCTTCTTAATAAATTTACTTAAAACAAACAAACAAACAAAACCAAATTGTGTGTGTAAGTTGAACTGGAAACTGCATCCTGGATAGCCCTGTAATTGTCAGGGTAGCTTTCATGCTGCCCTAATAAATGGTCTTAGGAATTCTGTTCTTGAATGGCATATGGAACTACTGATCATTTTATATCAATCTACTTACAATATAAATTATCCTTTGATAGAAATTTAACTTTAAAATTTTACCGTTAGCAAATGCTCCAATGCCTGAAAACAAATTCCGTTGCACGCAGAAATTTGAATCTGATGACATTGCAAAAATAAAAATTATTTGTGTAGTAAAGTACAAATATAATTAAAATAGGCCATAAATTCTCAAGTGTACTGGCAGTACAAGGGAAGTTGTGACAGCAAATATTCAGTGTTATATCACTTTACTGAGGGTTTATGTGCACTTTTTGTTTAGAAAATGGGTCTAGTAATTATCAGTACACAGTAAACAAAGGTCTTATTCTACCTCAGTATATGCTGCTTTTGTGTCCTTGCCCTCACAGTATGGTTAAAAGAGCATCAGTGCAGACACACAAGAGCTTTTGTTCCATCTTCAGCCATGTGGAATGCATATGCCAGGGCCCTGAGGTTAAAAAAAAAAAGGGGGGGAAAAAAGGTGGGGGGTGGGGGGAGGAATTAGAATTGGGGTTTGTTCAGGACTCATGGCATTTGGTCATTTCTGGGAGAAAGGTCTTTGATCTGGGAGCCTGGAAGGAGGAAAGTGGAAATGTTTTAGACACAGTACAGTGCTTGCAAAAGCCACATGAAAACCTTCTTTGTAGCTTTAGCCTTTTCATAGATGGACGGTTTCCTTATTTTACAAAGTTCTTCAGATGCGTGTTTTTTAGAGAACTTTTAACAATATTTGTTGACTGATATAAGACATAAAAATTAATGTGGATGGGATACAAAGAGCTTTTTAAAGTGGTGATTTATTTAAATTTAAACTTTATGGATAGTATTTGAAACTGGAAAAAATCTTTGGGGAATAGAAGATGCTTGGGTATTTAATGCAAAGAAACTATATCAAAGGAACATTTATAGTTACAGGCTATTTGGCTTTGGGTATTGAATTTTTCCTACTGAGATATTTTGTCTAACATCCAAAAATTTGCTTTAATTACTTAGGAAATGCAGTGAACTCAGAACTTAGTATCTAAACATAGCATAAGAGAAAGACAGAGGGAAGAGATGAGATGCAGCCTAACTCCCCCCTCAATGCATATGAAAAGAACAGCTTTAGGGCTTTTTTTGACTTGCCTGATTTTCAGCCCATTTGCATACATCTGTGTAGAAACGAGCAAGATGAGCCTCTTCTAAAAATTTTCTTCCATTCTCTAAATTAGTAAGTTAAACAGTAGCACATTCAAGCTACCCCAGCAACCCATAGTTTTCTGCTCTTCTTAATATAATTGCCTTCTGCAACATGAGGCGATATTCTCTCAGTGTTAGGTGTGCCATGCATGTGCTATCTGCTTTAAATTTTATTGGCTGATTCTTTTCCAGCCTTACAATATTTTATGGTGCTACAGTGCCTCAGTATTGCAGTATTTTTATTCATTGTAGGATAACAATGTTTTTGTTTCATCTAAAAATATCCCAGAACTTTACTAAACTATTTTCAGCCCTGCAATTCTGAGCCAAAATAAATCATCTTTCTGAGGTGTTAGCTCATAACGATGCACAGCAGCATCTCACAGCAGTGCCCATCAGTCAGCAGAGATATTTGTACTTGCTTCTTGGGGCAGGGCAGTCAATGGATGCAGCAGATAGCTCTGCAAACTAGAATGTCTTTGGGACAGGGTCAAAGAAGCGTGTGATGGTTGAACGTGTCCCCTGATGTCCAGTGACTCCAGTTTGAACAAAGCCCAGATTATGGACCCTGAAACCTCCATAGACTGTTGCAGGGCGAGGGCCTGTATTAAAAGAAAAAAAACCAAAACTCAGTTTTTCTATGTTAACATTTTGATTTCAGAAAAGGAATCTATTCATTTTTTGTTGGTATCATCACTTGTTCTTTATATCAAAGATTTGATAATGTGACACCCTCTAAAGCTCCTCCTCAGTGTCAGCTTTTAAGGTTTCTGGTGCTTACAGCTGCCATTCAAGTGGGTGACAGCTGAAGACATTCAGTATATCTTAAGATGGCCAAACCTTTGGGGGGGAACACTCAAAATACAGTTTGCTTTATCTGCACTAAGCAGTGTCCAGAGCTCTTGTATACAATAAAACTATTCAATAATAGAGAAGGGATTGTATTACCTATTGTCATAGTAGGGAATGATAAGAGATCATTATTCCAAATAGAATTTCTGAATAGAAATATCATGGAAATTGTTCTAATTTTTATTCTGTTCTTGGCCACAATTACAAAAGGGACAGAAGCTATGCTAATTTCTCTGGTTATCCTTATCTTCATGCCAACCAAGGTAATTGACAGTTGATAAAGATGGGAGGTCAGAATTAGTTGATATTAGTATTGTTTTGCAATGTGGCTGATTCAGCCAAATGCTTTTTTATCTTGCTTAGTTTCTATAACATACTCATAGAAGTTTAAGAAGTTGAGGCATACAGATTTCTTATTATTTTTTCATAATGCAGTTTGTCTGGGTTGCAGCTATCCCCTCCCTGGCAGAGAGGTTTTCAAACATTGTTCGCTTGGTTTGTGCTTTGTATTAAACGCATATGTCTCTTCTTAACCCAGTATCTCAAACAGCATAGGAGCTACAGATGAAATGCGCTGCCCACATGATCCTACATGTCAGCTTTCTTGCCAGTTCAAAACTCTTTTAGACTATTCTTTTTAGTTCACTGTTTGGTTTGTCTTTTTAAATGTCTCACATTAGCATGTTTTTCACTTCCTCTGATAGCAGACAGTTTTACCACTGATTAGATCTTGCTGATAAGCAAAATTCTTGTTTCCGAGAATTATTCCTAGGAGTCTAAATTTTCCCTTTTAATTTTGCTCTATTTTCCCACTTTAATTTTCTAAACAAAATAAAATTATTCCATACCTATATGCTCCTGTCTGGAAGTATGTTAATATATTTCTAGTCCGTGAAGGTATTGCTTAAACATGCTGTTCTTGCTTCTTTTGACTGCCAGCCATGAATATTTTAACAGAAATAATGTAAAAATCACACCTTCAGATCTATTGATCATTTACTTGTAGCCACAACTTTTCTTGTATAATATTCTGCAGTTTAATGCTTGTATATTTTCTTGTGTTCTGTAATTTACCACATCACACAGACTTGTTTCTGAGTGATTACTGGTTGTATTTGGTTATGGCTAATGTAATCAAACAAGTATCTCTTCTTGTAGAAAAGAAAGAGTGGGACAGACCATGTTCTTGTTTGTCTTTACCACTTAACCAAAGATAGTAAAGCTGTGATTTCAGTGACATGAGGCCAGTTGATGAAAGCAGGTTTGATGTGTGATGTACTTGAAGTATGCACTGTAGATTTGATATCAGTTGTCCTTTTGCATCTTCAAACTGACTTCGGAGTTTGTCAATGTTAAAATTTAATTATTTATAATGGGATTTTCAGGGCCACTGAAAAGAGGTTTTGTTTTGGTTTAGTGATGTTAAGTGCTATTTTCTAAACAGCTTTTCAGCTCATCCATAATAAAATGATTGGCTGAAATTTTACAACTGAGAAGTACTAATTTATGTTTGCTTACATTGAGTCCGATTAGCTTATTTATAATTAAAGAGAATTGCTTTGCTTATAATTGTTGCTATGTCATCGCTTCTTCCTCTGACTTTTTTCGTGTTTTCTAAACCCAGATTTAGGTCGTTCCCGGGAGCTACAATATGTTTATGTGGATAACAATATTCATCTGAAAGGCCTCCCATCTTATTTGTATAATAAAGTGATTGGTTGCAGTGGGTAGGTATGAATTAATTCAGATGTCTTGCATACCTGTTTCTTGTAAAATTTCTCATAAATATCTGCCTGTATGATACAACTGATTTTTTTTTTTTTTTCCGTGTGTGTGTGTGTGTGTGTGTGTGTGTGTGATTGATTCAGAACTGATGTTACTTTGAGGGGATTACGGCAGTTCCCAGTTCTGTTTTATTTTTGTAATAAATCTTCTGTGTTAATTGCTGACTTTTGATATTTTAGTATTAAGCCGTAACAGACAGTGCAGTTATTCTGAAGGAATTTTTAATGATAATGTAAGGCCTAAAGCTGAATCCTAGTTGCATTTAAAGGTTGGCCAAAAATGTAGGCTTCACAGAATTTCCAGAACTAAAGAACGAACAAAATGTTTTTTAATGTGTTACAGCATCTATCTTGTTCTTAAGTTCTCACATTTCTTTAAGTTATGGGCCGAATCTTGGAGTGTCACGTGCAGATCCTTCACTCATTTTACACCCCAGTATCAGCTTCTTATAGGTCTTGGTACTACTAACTAAAATAAGTAACTTTTTTTAGGAATTATGGATTGACAGGTGTATTTTTACATGTGCATTTTAAAAATATTCTAGGCTGTCTCATGTTTGTGGTTAGGATGTGAGAAAAAAGTGGTCTGTCTAGGACACTAGCTTAATTCTTTCTGCAATGACACTAGCATAAATTAGCGTCAGCACCACTGATAAATGGAGCCTTACTGGTGTAAAACTGATCAGAAGAGGATTGTCCCCATTACCATCTAATTATAAATTTCTCGTATGCTCGCTCTCAGCAAATCTTGCATTAAATATAAATTTCTTCTCTACAGCCTGCACTCTACTGCAATATGCAAGATGCTGAGTCTTGGCATTTTAAGGTTTTTCTAATATTCCCATGTCAGCTGGTTATATGATATTTATATACTTGCAGTCGGATTATAATTTGCTGAACTGTGTGCAGTCTCAAGTTTCTACTAATTTGTTTTTCAGGAAAAATAATTTCTAGCCTTTGTTCTTTCAGAACTGATTGTAAATTGTGACACAGACATTAAATTGACCCTAAAGATAATAGAACTGTATTGATTGTGACCAAAAACACTAGTGGCAATGCAGGAAATGTTCCAACAAGTTTGGTCCAACTGTCCTGCCTATTTCAGGTGATTTTAAACAACCTTTTTCTATTTTTTTTAACGTTTTAAGTCCTTTATTTTATACTCAGTCAAAATAATTTTATCTTTGCACTGACCTTTTGTGAAGATATTACTGGTTCTTTTTGCTGTCATTACATGTACACTGCTGGTGAGGCTAGCTGCTAGTATCTCTGATGGAGAGTATTATAAATCTAGTATAGAAAAGACCAAAAAAGCTGCAAGTGTTGCGATGAAATTAATTCTTGTAAGGCTTCTGTGGAATAAAAAAATTACAATAATTTTTTTCCTTAATAATAAAGAATTTAAAAAATATTTTTAGTAAGCAAAATAATATTTGTGTACCAAACATATATTTGTCTTTATGTTGTGAAACCATCTTGAAACATCATAGATTATTTTTAAGGGAAATTTTCAACATAGGAAGAGCACTTATATATATTATTAAGAAACCAAACATTTTATTTGATAATGTGCTGAGTGACGTTAAAATCATGTAATAATGGTCATGTGAAGAATTTCTGTGTTCTTTCCAAGAAAGCATCAGTAACCAATGCATAGTTTTCATGGGTCAGGCGAGAGTTGAAGATCCAGGCTTTAGTGCTCTGTCTGGTCATCCACTAGACAATAAAATCTGACATGCTGCTCTTACTAACATAAAGCTCTATTTCTGAAAATAGAATATAAATTGCATTGTGTAAGTAATGAATCTCTGTCTGGGAATCCTGCAGTCAGACTGACTGAAAAAGTCTTTTATGTAAGAGGTGATGATCTCAGCACTCAAAATAAATTTTAATCTTATTTTTTGCAGATTGGATTTCGTAGTCTCCAGCTAGGTATCTGTCAGTCTTGTTGAAGGCAGCTGATAAGTGGTCACAGCTTTTTTTCCCCAGTTACTTATTCACCAGGGTTCTTCTGCAGCTCCATTTTTTCTAGCTAGTTAGACCATCCTCTATTCCACTTTTTAACCTCCATGGATTTTGTGGGTTTTTTTTTTTAATTCTTTGTTCTTGCACCCAGTATTACTCATAGGTTGAGATTCATTCTCCAATCGATCCTGATTTAAGGGTGTATATCTCTTAGATTATTCCTCTTGATGGTCTATTTTCTTGTTTACTTTGTTTTTCAGTGTTGTAGTCAGGCATTAATAGCCTCACCCTTTATACAAAGCGGACCAAATGGCCCAGCTCTGAACTGCAGAAACTGTAGTGAGTTTATGGGTGTGTCTTCTAGCTAGGTTGGTAAGGGGTTAATCGGCTTGAAAATACAACATTATAGATTTATTTGTTGTGATAGCTAACTCATTGGGTATGGATTGATGGGGAATGGATTGTTGGAATACTGGATCTCTGAATTCCCAATTATATTTTAACTCCATTAATGGTTTGTGGGAAAGTATTAAATATTTAACAAGAGGCTTATTGACTTGCTGTTTGATGCTGCTCTTTTTTGCTTGTTTCTCTGGGCTGTTTTTCCTTTAATCAGAAGAGATGAGATTCCTTGTTATCATAGAAGTACTACGAGATTTCTTTCACATCTGATAAGGTCGAGTGTAGTTACCTCAGTTTTAGGTCCAATATCTGGGAAGGCTGACAAATTTGTGTTTCTGTTCCATTTGTCAGGACTGGCCCTAACAAGTTGCTCTTGGCTTCAAAGTTAAGTTGTCACAAACAATTCCGATTCCCCTCTTGACTTCCCCAACCTCTTAGTAGAATTTTCCTATGTGTGTCTCTTTGGTATGATAGCTTGCAACAGGGATCATGTAAAGAGTTATTATTTTTACTACAAGCTAAGTTTCTCTCCTTGGATCCAGATAACTTTCCTTTTCCTTATATGATTTGGGAAGGACAAGGCTAGTAGACTTAACTAGGGTATCTTCCCACTACAGCTCAGGCTGTTCTTTTTATTTTTCCTTCACTCACCCCCCCGCACCCTCCAAGGGAGCTCTGTGGATGCGCAAAGGTATAGTACAGAATCACCCAGTGGCACTTAAATGATATTTTTAGGTGGTTGTAGTTTGCCTCACATATTATAGTTGAGAAACCCATTACGATTCTCAGCTGGTGGATCGAAGACACAGGACGCCAACTGTTAGGTATGAAACTGCTCCCCTAGGTAAAATATTTAGTAACTATGGCATTCAGAGGCTAAAACAGATTAGCGCATTGGCAGAGTAAGGGACATGTAGTGCACTTGGTTCACCTCCTTGGGATTGTGTTCTCATTTCTCCATCTTTTGCATGTTATTTCATAAGTAAAGACCTCCAGACGTTCCGTGACTGGCACGTCACAGAAGGTGGGGATCTATAGAAAATGTGTGTCAACATATATTGCACTCTGCAAGGAATCCTTGAAGGGTGTTGCACTGAAGACAGTATCAGGCATAGTTTGGGTTGGTCATCTGGGTTTCCCCATAAAGTTACTTTTATTATTTCTTTTCTAACCACTTTCTAAATGTCTTCTGTCCTTCTAGTTGTGGTTCTCCAATTCAACTTTCAGAGGTGAAACTGCTCTCTTTTTCATCGGGCCAGTTAACTGTGTTCCTGCCAGCAGAGGTGAAATCTATAGGGACGGAAACAGATCATGTGCTGCCTTTGCAAGAACTGGCTATGAGGACCCTCTATAACACCTACTACAGGTTTTTAAAAGGTATGAAATTTCTGCATTCTTCATATTACAGAAAGAGTGGAAATGCTTTTCTGGCAGTGATAGGAACATTTCAAATAGCTCTTCAAAGAGCTGTGCACGGATTAATATTTTAAAAGATTTATTTAATCAAATTATGTTTGAAATGCTGTATTAGAACAAAAATGTCCAATATCAAAAAACAGAGATCCAAAGACTATTTCTAAGATCGAGTGGTGCTTACAAATTGTTTCTTTCTTGAGGACTGCATAAAGAAGGACTCTTTTTGCAGGAGAAACTCTTTAATGGAAATAGGAGATGAGAAATACAGTTCCTGAGGCAAGATTAGATGCATCAGCCAACAATGCAACTTCTTGCCAGGCAGCACACTCCTAAACTGGCAGACTTGTTATACATAAGGCAACAGAAATGCTAGCAGCCCTTGGCCATTTCTGTACAGCATGACAGCTGAGCTGTTTTAGTTCTGCCCCAGTTCAGACTCTTTGCTGTTAAAGTAGCCCTTGGCTTATCTGGTTATGCATCATGCAATCACATGAGTTAGCAAGATCTGATGATAACCTGCAGATTCAGATTTTGTCAGATTTAGATGTATTGTGACTTTGCCCTATTCATGGCATCTTGGGAATTTGTCAGCTTTAAAGGTGAAATTAGAAAGCAGAAGGGTAGAGAGTTACAATGGAAAGATTAGAGGGTTTATGATAAGGGGTTACTTGTACAGTGGCCACTGGAGTAAATCATAACTGCTGAACTATTGCTTTGCCAGGAAAAGCGTACGAGGAGATCTGCAGCAAATATGCTGCAGGGAAGAAACTTCATGTTGAATGGTGGGATAACGACACAAGCCTGTGTTCATAGGAAATGGCACTGCTTTGTGGAGAATATATTTACTGACATAGAGAACATATTAATTGACCAGTTTGCGGTTGTGTATTTTTTATATTTCTGCATATGGAGGGGAGAGAGGAGGTTTTTAATTGTTTAGTATCAGGATATCAGCTGCACCAAAATTACACAATGACAAATGCTGTTTCATTTTGATTTGCACAATTCTAATCTTTGAAAAGGAGTTTGAGAACATCAGGTGCAAGATCTTTTAAATCATGAGTAACTACTTTTCTCACACACTTGTGACTTGCACGGTAATTTCCGGAATATGACTCTGTGAATGGGGTTCCTGAAGATGCTGGTGAAGTTTGGTTCGGGAATAGCAAAATAGCATTGCAAAATCAGTTCAAGAAATAGTTTGTAGATGGTTTATACAAGGCTGTGAGGATTATATCTAGTTGCAGCCAAGGTGTGGAACGTGAAAAAGATGGTGAAACATTTTTTTAACTATCTTGCCTACTTCTAGTTTGGTACCCTGTACTAGTAGTCTTTTAATATTTTTACACCCACCCACCCCCCCCATCTTATTCTGAGTGACATTATTAAAGACTATGTGCACCACCACTGGTGAGACCCACATTTCAGTGAGGCAGGAGTAATGCATAATTCAGACAGGTGTAAGATAATGGTGTGCTGGGGAAGCAGGTGGCACATATGATTGAAGTAGCAGATTTGATCTATCACTGCCTAAATTTGCTGTTTCGAGGATGCTGTTAAATACTTGGCAGCTGCTAGGTAAGTATGACAGAGGCGATTGGACTACTTTTCCTCAGTCTTTGCTTCGCTACAGAATGTGACCTTTTCTTTCTGATGCAAATGTACTATTCATCGTGCCTTTCATCTCAATTGAGGCTGTTGTGGTACATTGTCTATGGGGTTAAACCTTAGTGTTTCAAAGCTGAAACTAGTGTGATATCGCAAAACTGATTTATCAGGTACTGCATCTTGTCTTGATTACTCAGCACCTAAACTCATTCACCTGTCTTGGCTGTCTCTCAGTTTCTAAATGGAGATTAGCATGTTGGTTTTAATTTATGAAACACTATGTAACTTGGGCCAAGCCAGAGAAAACGATTGCTCTTTCCCATGAAATGGCCCTGGAGTCCCTTCTGGTGAAAATGATGGCATCTTGTAAACTGTGGGGGGCACACTTAAGAGATTATGAATGTATTGATCTTTTTAGAGTGGTCTTTTTGGCTGGATTTGTGAGAATTATGCTGGACTGGATTGTATTTCAAGTAATTCTAAATATTTCAGATCCCTTTTTGCTGATGATGGAGTTTGGGCTGTTTAGTGAGCTTAGCTATCCTGCTGGGTTGGTTGCTGAAATATTTTAGTAAAATACTGCTGATGTGCTTTTCAGAATTTTGTATTGTTATTAATTACTAAACACCTGTCTAGATCATCTTTGTGTCTAAAAATGCTTTATGATATATTACTGGTTTTTATTATTTGCTTGAGCTATAATATTTTCACCTGGGTATTTGGGCCCAGTTAATCTTATGCCCACAGATGCTACACTTACACATTTAACTTTGTTTTTGAACTTGTACATGGAAAGCACCGTGCACTTCATCCTAATTGTGGTAATTTTTCTTTACTTTTGACAAAGTCTTCAGAATGTGAGACAGCTGATTTTCTGAACTGTTCATGGATCATGCTTGTTGTGTTTGATTTTATTATGCAATTGTTTTGTTACAAGCCTTTTTTATTTCTTTTCTTCTCTAGATTTGAACTTTCTGACTCCAATCTCACTACCCAAAAGCCTCTTGGAATTGCTGCACTGTCCCTTGGGACACTGCCACCGCTGCAGCCAGCCTATGTTTACCATTGTCTACCCAAAGCTCTTCATGGATCATGCTTGTTGTGTTTGATTTTATTATGCAATTGTTTTGTTACAAGCCTTTTTTATTTCTTTTCTTCTCTAGATTTGAACTTTCTGACTCCAATCTCACTACCCAAAAGCCTCTTGGAATTGCTGCACTGTCCCTTGGGACACTGCCACCGCTGCAGCCAGCCTATGTTTACCATTGTCTACCCAAAGCTCTTTCAATTGCATCAAGGGTAATTATACAGGAAATTACACTGGGGTTTCATTTAGGAAGAAAAACACCTTATGGAAGAAAGCATATTCTTAAGGATTTTTTTTTTTTTAAACTTAGCAGCCTTTCAGATCTAAAGCCCCTGTCCTATGATTGCATGTAAAAGTTGACAAATCTTTTATTTACAAGACAACCAGAATACTGCTGTTAGACTGTTTAACAAGGGCTACCACAATTGCCTGTTTCAGGCTGCTGTAAGATAGCGAAGGGTTTTGATATGATGGGATTGACTTGTTTGTGGTAGTGCAGCACATGCATGGCACGTCTGTGCCTTGGGAAGGAAATACTACCTAACGCCAATACTTCCCCTGATGGTTTCAACCGTGACTTCAGGAGAATGCCACCACGAAATAAAAATGCTGTAGGATTAAAGATGGAAAAAAGCTCTAAAGCCAGAGCTCAATTAAAATGTTCTGTGGTAAAATACTCTTGTTTTCCTTTCCACGCTAATTAACTTGAGATATGCTGTGGAAGCATTCTGCATTGTAACATACATTTCGTAGCAATACACCTTTTTAAAATTATTTCAGTTTTTATGGTTGTAGCAGTTGTGAATGTGTCTGCAGAATTCACAAGTCAAGTAGACAAGCCTACACAGAATTCCTGACCGGCTGGACAGTACAGTCGTAGAAGGTACTCAAAACTGGGATATGGTTCAGGGAATATTGCCCTCATGTAGATAAAGATTTAAAATATCTTAAGGATGAGCACTGATGGCTTTGCAGTGATTCTTTCCAAAAAACCCTTATTAGTATGAGTTGATACTGTAGCCTACTATGACGCATAATATCAACAAATCCACTTTCTGCAATGGCAAAGCATAATCAGAGAAATTTCAACTGGTTCTACTTGGACAAAAGTACAGTACTGTTTGAAACCTAATAAAGAAGGTTTAACGAAAAGTCGCTAGGCGTTAAATGAGCAAATGTGATGTTCAGGTTCTCTTTAGAGAATTTGAGTCAAGCCATTAGTTACAAAGCATGTGCCTAAAGGTGGGGAGCAGAAAAGAAAAGTGCTTTAAAAAGGAATGTTCCTGAAATTACTTGTTGATACATATAATGCACAAGAATGCCACTTAGTTCTTGTC